CACCAAACTAGTCGGAATGGACCATTGTGAGTTTTTTCCGGTGGCTGGAGTGCCAATCCTGCCATCAACCCCCAAATTTCCCTGTAAGTTGGAGGACCTCCTTGCATGGCTGGATGTAGATTAACGTCATACCCAGGACGAAGCAATTGCAGGTTAAGGGTCCTGCTCAAGGGCCCAACGAAGTAAGATCATTGCTGGCACACTGCTGGAATGGTTTGAGCAACATGAAAAATAGTTCAAGGTGTTGACCAGTGGTGGAGGAAGTACTGAAGCTTAGTACTTAAGTAAAAGAACAAATATCCTGCAAAATATGTACTCAAGTAAAAGTACAAGTGCTACATCAACAATCTTACTTAAGTGAAAGTACTAAGTACTTACTTTTAAATTTACTTTAAAGCATTTTTTTTAAGTAAAAGTACTCACGCAATGGTTTGTCTCAACTTCTGGGGTGGGTGTGTCATTTTGTAAAAGAATAGTAGATATACTGACTTACGCCTCTACCAATGTCATTGCTCGTAATAATTACAAGCAACTATACAGTATATGTGTATTGGTGTCCTTATTGTGCATGCACTCTGCAATACTGTGTGTACCCTAACTTAGAATTATGTGGATGACAAGTTATCTAATAGGTATTACCCACTAATATACCATTAAGATAAACTAATCAGGACATGATATATCTTTAAATCATTTATGTACTTGCAAAACTATTCAAAACATCTGTTAAGAGCAGTAACAGATTCAGAGCTGCAGGGCTCGTGCTCACGCTCAGTCGATGTTGGCTCTGGGTCCATGTTGAATGTCTCGTCTTCTTGAAATCAAGCCAGTCTACCAGCTCGTGCTGCTAATTGACGTGCACTCTGCCATCATTGCAGGAGCTAATAAAGCCACCTGATTGGTAGGAAATGGCAAACAACGTCTGAATGCAATAGGCTAACAATTTTTGTAGTGGAGTAAAAAGTACAGATAATTGCCGCAAAATGTAATGGAGTAAAATAAAAAGTATGCATTGTTATTTTTACTTAAGTAAAGTACAGATACGTAAAAATGTACTTAAGTACAGTAACGAAGTACAAATACTTTGTTACATTCCACCACTGGTGTTGACTTGGCCTGAAAATTCCCCAGATCTCAGTCCGATTGAGTATCGGACCATAAAAGGTCCTGCGGAGTCCATGCTTCAACAGGTCAGAGCTATTTTGTCCGCACAAAGCGGACCTACACAATATTAGGCGGGTGGTGATAAATTTTTGGCTGACTGGTATATAATGAAAGTTCTTTATAGAACCTGAATCAAGAATTAACAACTTGGATATGAATTTCACGTTACCTTTCAGTGTTCCTGTTAAGGAAATGGAAAATGTCCAGTGTTTGAAATATAGAAATACAAATTACGTATTGTTATATTCAGATTTTGTTGCCTCCACCAGCTTGTGTTTAAAAAGGAATAAATACATGCATAATGCATGGCTTGGTATGCATTAATCCACATATACCACAGTTACTACACATTTGTCCGTAAAGACTGGTCTTTGGGCTTAGAAGCAGTTATAAGAATTTAGAATTAGGGGATCTGTGGTCATTGTTGACACACCGCAGCACACAGTGCACAACAATGAAATGCGTTCTCTGCATTTAACCCATATGTGACATTGTGACATAGCAGGGAGCAGCTAGTTCAGCACCCAGGGAGCAGTGCTTAGGGGCGGTACCTTGCTCAGGGTATCTCAGTGGTGCCTTGCTGGTCGGCGATTCGAATCAACAATCTTTGCAAATGTGCTTCCCTAACCTTAAGCCACCACTAGTTGTGAACTATGCTGTGTTACAATAATACCACCAAAACCTTAAATAATAGTTCTACCAGTAGATGTATTTTCAGTTTTTAAACATGAATATAGTCAGTCCTGCTACAACACAAATAATGCATTCTTAAATGACCTCGCATTCACTAAAATCGCATACTAAAATACACAAATCCAAAGGGAAAAATAGGGTTAGGAAAATCCACCTCCAAAACATAATTACCAACACCAAACAAAATGAATTATATTATAAAAAGTGATACCAATGGTCAATAATGTAATTATATACATTTTAAATAAGAAATAATACATTAATAAATTTCACCATAAAGATTGATTCTTTTACATTTGAAAATTATTTTGACTGATTCACATGAAAAGAATTACAAGTAGTGTTTCTCACTAAGACCTTATCATGTTGTAGTTTGTATTATGCTTTTCTCCATGACAGAGAATCACACAAATACAAATGTGATTCTGTCTTGTATTGTACTAATATGTCAGTGACATTTGAACAGATTTGCACTGTGATATCACACGTTATAGCAGGACTGACAGTAATCTCTTAAAATACACTGCTCACAAAAATTAAAGGTACACTAAAAATACATCGGATCTAATTGGGAAAAAATATCATTCTGGATATCTATACTGATATGAACTGGGTAATGTGTTAGGAATGAAAGGATGCCACATAATTTGATGGAAATGAAAATGATCAGCCTACAGAGGGCTGAATTGAAAGACACTCTGAAAATCAAAGTGAAAAAAATGAGGCAGACTAGTGCATTTAGTCGAAATTTCATTGCAGCAACTCAAAATTGTACTCAATAGTTTGTATGGCCCCTACATGCTTGTATGCATGCCTGACAACGTCGGGCAATGGATGGTGTCCTGGGGAATCTCCTCCCAGATCTGGACCAGGGCATCACTGAGCTCCTGGACAGTCTGAGGTGCAACCTGGCAGTGTCAGATGTACCAAAACATAATGTCCCAGAGGTGTGGGGGCCAGTCAATTATATCAATTCCTTCATCTTCCAGGAACTGCTTGCATACTCTCGCCACATGAGACCTGGCATTGTTGCGCACCAGGAGGAACCCAGGACCCATTGCAGAAGTGTAGGGTCTGACAATGGGTCCAAGGATTTCATCCCAATACCTAATGGTAGTTAAGGTGCCGTTTTCTAGCCTGTAGAGGTCTGTGCGTCCCTCCATGGATATGCCTCCCCAGACCATCACTGACCCACCACCAAACCAATCATGCCGATCAATGTAACAGGCAGCATAACGTTCTCCACGGCTTCTTCAGACCCTTTTACAGAGAACAGGCACAAGGAGAACAATTCAGATAATAACCAACACACGACAGGCAACGTAGACAGAAACAAGGGCACCAAAGACAGAAACACAGGACCCGGAGACACAACACCCAGGGGTACACCAACGAACGGAGGACAGGGACCAGAAGGGGAAAATGGCAGGACAGAGAGACGGGGAGCAAACACAGGGGGCACAAAGCCAGGGGTCAAGGAAGCAAAGGCGAGTCAGGGGGTAGAGCGGGTGGGACCCGACCCCAGCGCAGGTGTCCTCTCTCTCTTTCTCTCTCTCTCCGGGAGACAGAGAGATAGGGACCTGGCCGGGATCTGCTGTAATGAGGTGGCAGTTGGGGTGACCCACTGGAGGGGTGCACTGGGGCAATCAGGGAAATCCCAGAGGGGTCCTCCTCCATCTCCACTAAGGGGGGAGGAGCAGTGGTCCAACAGTCCAGGACCTCGGGGACAGGGACTGGGGCCATGGAAACTGGGGCAGGAGCAGGGTCCAGGGAATCAGGAACCTCCTCAGCGATGGGAGCCGGGGTCATGGGAGCAGGAACTGGGGCACCAGGAACCTCCAGGACAGGAACAATGGGAGCAGGAACCGGGGAGCCAGGAACAACCTCCGGGACAGGAATCACGGGAGCAGGAACCAGGGAGTCAGGAACCACCTCGGGGACAGGAACCATGGGCGCCGGAGCAGGAACTGCTGGGACAGGAACCATGGACACCGGAGCAGGAACTTCCAGGACAGGAACCACGGGCCCTGGAGCAGGAACTGCCAAGACAGGAACCACGGGCGCCACCTCCTTTGAGAACTAGGGGACCCGCAGGATGGCATCCCCAATAGTCCTGGCCCCCTTTAAGGCCAGGCACGTCCCCTTGGAAGGGACAAGCTGTGGGCACAAGCTTGGGCGAAGCGGCAGGCAGACGAGCTTCATGCACAGCCGGTGAAGCAGCGGCCAGATGGGCTTCATGCACAAACACCGTCTGGTCGAGTATCGGGAGGGGCTCCTCCTGACATGCCGCAGGTGAGGTAGCAGAGATCGACCCAGTGTGTCTTCCCGTCTGTCTCTCCGCTTCCTTCTCCTCCTGCGAGCTGGTGCTATGAGGTCCAGGAGCTCGCATGGCAAGGAAGGTGGAAAACCACAGTTTATGTTTGCCTGCCGGATCACATCCTCAGCGACCCAGCTTCTGAGCTGGGTCAAATTCTTCCGCACCTCCTCTGCGAAGTGCAAATCCTCAGAAGAAATAGCTCGCTCCGCGGGGTCCTCCTTAACCTTGGGCTGTCCAACCCAGCAGATTACCTTGTTGACTAAGCTGAGGTATTCCGCCTCACTGAGGGGAGGCGTATTTCTTTCCAGTCTGGTCATTCTGTTATGGATCGAGGGCAACACGGACTGAGGAAACAGGAGCGAGACTCACAGAATAAGGTGAACGCAGGGTTTAATCAAACAGGCAGACAAGCATCACCAAACGGCAACACAATGTCAATGACCAGACTCGGAAAACATACTCGAACGTGGACGTAAATACGTCAAGAACAATGAGAAATGGATGGTAACATGGGGATTCCATACGAGGTAGCGAGGGGGCGTGGTACAAAGGAGGATCGGACAAGCAGGGCATGACACCTGGAATCTTCTCCATGCCCTTGAAACTGTGCTAGAAGACACAGCAAACCTGAAGGAGGTGGACTACCAATGCAACCTCTGTAGAGTTCAGGTATTACCTCATGCTACGAGTAGTGACACTGCCCATAGCCAAATGCAAAATTAGTGAAAAACTGTCAGAAAAGATGAGGGAAAAATGTCAGTGACCTCCACCGGCTTGTTGTGCATTAATCCTTACATATTCAACCCAACTTACTATATGTCCACAGTGTGACGGAAGACCCATTCCACTCCCCAGCCTGCAGGGCATTGCTGTACTCAACATACCAAGCTATGCTGGTGGAACTAACTTCTGGGGTGGCACCAAGGAGGATGATGTAATTACTGATCGCACAATTTGTGTCTATATTTCCAGAAACTTAGCTCTATATTTTAAAATATCTGAAAAACTGAAATTTAATAATTGTAAATTAATGTGAACTTTTATCATCAGTGATTTGAAACATAGTGATCTCCTCTTTCTTTAAAATGTCATTTCTACATTTTTACCTTAAGATTAGCTTTTTACTTTGATCTAATATTGACTATGAAGCAGTTCCAATATTTAATGACATTTTTTTTTTGCTATTCAGACATTCACTTCTCCTTCATTTGATGACAAGATCCTGGAAGTTGTCGCTGTGTTTGGCAGCATGCAGATGGCTGTATCACGAGTTATCAACCTCCAACACCATCGTATTGCACAGGTCAGTGTACCTGTGGTTACAGCCAGCAGGTCAATGGGAGCAAGGCAGATTGGTCTTATGCTCGCTGGTCTCTGGTGCCTCTTCAGTGTCGGACAGTGAAGATCACCATTCTTGGGGATGAGGGTGTTCCAGTTCAAGTGGATGGAGAGGCCTGGATACAGCCACCAGGTTACATCCGCATCATCCATAAGAACCGTACACAGACCCTTACCAGAGACAGGGTGGGTATCATGCTACATACACGGCAGACTCTTGAGACAGAAAATTAGTCAAATGACAATTAGAAGAATTTTGCATCTATCCTTCAGCATCTGTAGTACATTTAATACATTCTCTGACTTCTCCAGCTTTGTATATACCGATGCTTCTCAACCTATGATGGGGTTAAGTTCTAATGAACTTATCATAAGCTGAAAATATTGTAAGTTGAATATAATATGGTTTGACACACTTTGGTGTTTAGTAGGCCTATTCTGCTTGGGCAAATATGGTTAGACACAGAAAAGGAACACTTTACAATATGTTGATAAACACTGTATAGGATGTTTGCGATTACCACAGTGGCTGGAAGTGTGGCTGGGTGGCTGCTGTCATTACCTGGCAGCAGTAGAAAGTAGCAAGTTTGACTACTAGTAGCAAGACTCTACCAAGGAGTGGAAGACCAAGAAAAGTAACTGAAAAAGCTTGGAGGAGAATTACCCGAGAGCTATATAAGAATCCAAAACAAACAGTAGGGGACCTGAAGAAGTCCTTGGGAGCAAATGGAATAAAGGTCTATACAGCGGGGAAAATAAGTATTGAACGCGTCAACATTTTTCTCAGTAAATATATTTCTAAAGGATCTATTGACATGAAATTTACACCAGATGTCAGTAACAACCCAAGAAATCCACACATACAAAGAAATCAAAACAAATAAGTACATAGATTAAGTTGTGTGAAATAAAGTGAAATGACACAGGGAATAAGTATTGAACACGCTTACTGAAATTTATTTAATACTTTGTTGGTAATGACAGCTTTAAGACACCTCCAGTATAGAGAAACTAGTCGCATGCTTTGCTCAGGTGTGATTTTGGCCTATTCTTCCACACAAATATGGAAATATGGAATATGGAAATAACTAAAGATCAGAGTTCATAGGAGAGGCCCTATAAACATCAAGATATGAAGACAGTTTGTGTGGAAGAATAGGCCAAAATCACACCTGAGCAAAGCATGCGACTAGTTTCTCTATACTGGAGGTGTCTTAAAGCTGTCATTACCAACAAAGTATTAAATAAATTTCAGTAAGCGTGTTCAATACTTATTCTCTGTGTCATTTCACTTTATTTCACTAACTTAATCTATGTACTTATTTGTTTTGATTTCTTTGTATGTGTGGATTACTTGGGTTGTTACGACATCTGGTGTTAATTTCATGTCAATAGATCCTTTACAAATATATTTACTGAGAAAAATGTTGACACGTTCAATACTTATTTTCCCCACTGTATCTACACAGTCAAGTGCAGTCTGCACAAGTCTGGAATGTGTGGAAGAAAAATATTCAGGAAGCCATTGCTTACTTCCAGACACAAGGCAGCACACTTAGAGTATCCTAAAGGACATATGAACAAACCAGATGAATTTTGGACCAAGATTATGTGTTCTGACGAAACCAAAATTGAATTATTTGGTCATAATTCACACAGGTGCATGTGGTAAGAAAACAACTCTGCCTCTGGCAAGAGGAACACTATTCCCATGGTCAAACATGGCGGAGGCTTGCTGATGTTTTGGGGGTGTATACCTGCATCAGGCACTGGACCTCTGCGCAAAGTGGAAGGAAAAATGAATGCAGGCCATTATAAACAGATTTAAAAGCAAAGCCTCCTACAGGCAGAGGTGGACAAAGTACTTACATTCATTACTTAAGTGAAAGTACGGATACCACTGGTCAAATATTACTCCAATACAAGTGAAAGTTGTGCAGTCAAATTTTTACTTAAGTTAAAGTACTGAAGTACTTGCTTTTAAAAATATTTAAGTATTAAAAGTACATTTTCTTTCACCGCATTGTTGCATTATTGGCACAACACATACAATACCTAATGCCTCTGACTAGCTTGTAGAACTTCTAGAATAAGAAATTGGTAAAATGTTACAGAATGAAACACAACCCGAGCTGACAAAGAAAACAAGTAACTTATTTTTAACAAGTCATCAAGACAATCTCAGTGTGGTCAAATTACTCAAACTTGTAAAAGTCCTTATTTAGCTTAAGCAGAAGCTGGTTCTCAAAGTTGCATGAGCTGATTGCTGCCTGTCTTGGCCTAAAGATCAATCCAGCTGCACTAAAAAGCCTCTCACATGCTGCTGAGGCAGGCAGGGCTGTGTTTAGCTTAAGCGATAGTTTACATACAGCAAGAAGAGCGTTCAGCATAGTCACACCTTCAGCTGCACATGTTAGGTATGCATCTAACTGCTTGGTCGTCAACTGTATCTGTGTATGCTTGATATTAGAGTAGAAATCCTCTTCATTAGAAGTAAATGATGAGTTGTCAGCTGGCCGAAGACCCTCATCATGGTCAGGAAGAGCTGTTTTTATCCATCCATCCATCCATTATCTTCCGGTTATCCAAGGTCGGGTCACAGGGGCAGCAGTCTCAGCAGGGAAACCCAGACTTCCCTCTCCCTGGCCACTTCATCCAGCTCCTCCAGGGGAATCCCAAGGCGTTCCCAGGTTAGCCGAGAGACATAGTTCCCCCAGTGTGTCCTGGGCCTTCCACAGGGCCTCCTCCCAGTGGGACATGCCTGGAACACCTCACCAGGGAGGCGTCCAGGAGGCATCCTAAGCAGATATCCGAGCCACCTCATCTAGCTCCTCTCAATGCGGAGGAGCAGCGGCTCTACTCTGAGTCTCTCCCGAATGACCAAGCTCCTCACCCTATCTCTAAGGGAGAGCCCTGTCACCCTGCGGAGGAAACTAATTTCGGCTGCTTGTACTCACGTCTCATTCTTTCGGTCACTACCCATAGCTGATGACCATAGGTAAGGGTAGGAACGTAGATTGACTGGTAAATCAAGAGCTTTGCCTTTTGGCTCAGCTCCTTCTTTACCATGACAGACTAATGCAGCGCCAGCATCACTACTGATGCCGCACTGATCCACCTGTTGATCTCCCACTCCATCCTTCCCTCACTCGTGAACAAGATCCAGGATACTTAAACTAGGTCCTTCCCGACCCGGAAGGACCATGGTCTCGGAATTGGATGTGCTGATTTTCATCCCAGCTGCTTCACACTCGGCTGCGAACTGCTCCAGTAAGAGCCAAAGGTCATGGTCTGATGAGGCCAACAGAACCAGATCATCTGCAATAAGCAAAGACCTAATCCTGAGGTCACTACACCGGACACCCTCAACACCTTGGCTGCACCTAGAAATTCTGTCCAGAAAAGTTATGAACAGAATCGGTGACAAAGGGCAGTCCAACCCTCACCAGAAACGAGTCCGACTTACTGCCGATAATGCGGACCAAGCTCTGACACCGGTTTTACAGGGACCGAACAGCCCTTATAAGGTAGCCCGGCACCCCATACTCCTGGAGCGCTCCCCACAGGACTCCCCGAGGGATGCAGTCGAATGCCTTCTCCAAGTCCACAAAGCACATTTAGACTGGTTGGGCAAACTCCAACGCACCCTCCAGGACCCTGCCGAGAGTATAGATGCACAACATCATGGTCTGACTATACAGTTTATATTGTGAGGGGAGAGGATGCTGGCGTTGAATGTTCGCTGCTTCTCCCTCTGAGTCTAATATTATTAATTTACTATTTTACTTTTAGTTTTAGTTAGAAAGTTTCATACTTTTTCTGAAAGTTTTTCTTGTACTGTTTTACCGTCTGCCTTGGATTTTACGGATTTTTATCAAGTTTTTGCTGTCTACTCACCTGTTTACCGTCTGTGTCATAATCCAACATGGGAAGCAGGTGACGGAAGCCGTGAATATGCACAAAAGGGATTTATTGCCGGGGTAACACACTTCAAGACACGTAACGTTAATGACCAGACTGGGGAAACGAACGGAAATGCGGACTAAATACACTGGACTAATGACAACAATCAGAAACAGCTGTTAAACACTGGGAATCCTCATGAGGTTAACGAGGGGGGCGTGGCACAGGAGGATCGGCACGATCAGGGTGACAGTCTGCTTTGGATTTTACGGATTTTATCAAGTTTTTTCTGTCTACTCACCTGTTACCCGGATATTCTGTTTTACCGTCTGCTTTGGATTTTACAGATTTTAGGTCAGTATGGCGTTCAGCTGTTCCAGCTCACAACTCTGCTGACTTAATCCCTCAGCCACTCCTGGAATTAACATCCCCTTCATCAAAGAACTTGGACTCCTTCGCCGTCCTCGTTACATTCATAGAGGCTCCGGTCGAAAGTTCATCTTCCATAACCAGCCAAAGTGCTCTGCTACCAACATTCCACCTTTCTGGTCACCTGTCACACGTCTGACATGTCATCAGAGCACCGTCGCTCCAACTACTATCAGCACTGGAAGTATCGCGAGATCTCTGCACTCCAGCATGGGAATCACCTGAGCCATTGAGAGAAACACTGCAAGATCCTCACATCCCCGGCTGGATTTATTTTGTGGAGTGGACTCTAAGTTCCGTGTAGTGGATTTTAATGTTCTGTGACCTGTACAGAGGTTTACTCCACAGTCATTGGTCAAATTTGAACTGTTCAACTCTCAATCATTCAGCAATAAATCCACACTGATTGAAGAACACATCAGGGAGAAAGTACTTGACTTCATGTGTTTGACAGAAACCTGGCACCAGTCAGAGGTTTACTCTTCCCTAAATGAAGCCTGTCCACCTGGCTACGGTTACTTGGAGGCAGCTCACAGCACTGGGCATGGTGGTGGCCCAGCTACCATCCACCATCAGGACCTGGGGTTATCCCCTCTCTTGATACCTGCAACATCTTTCTGCGAGTGGCTTGCATTTAAATGTAAGCCCATTTTTCCGATGACTGTTCTCCTTATCTACCAACCTCCAAAACCCAACTCTGCCTTTCTCTGGCCCTTTCTCTCCATTTCAGAAATCTGAAGAACATCAATGCGGATGCCCTGGCCCTGGACCTTTAATTTCTCTCCTCTGACCCTACCAGCTCCCTCTCTGTTGCTGACCTCGTGGATTTCTACAACCAGTCCCTGAGCAGTCTC